TATATATATATATATATATATATATATATATATAGATGATATAAACCTATAAAACTTAAATACAACTTGGCCTCCCCCAAAACTGGAAGTTACCACAAGACTGGACATAGAAGCACAAACCAAAAACCACTTCTTTAAAACACCTAAACATTAATAATGAACTCCAAGTTGTCATTCAGAAAAACAGATCTTTCTTTCAAATTTGAATATCCATTTAAAGATAGTTTTGAGCTCAAGTTCAAAAGAGGACAAAATACCTGGAGAAGTCTCATGCTTGTGCAATGCAGGTAATGTTTGCGATCCTCCACTAGAAATGCTATGATGCAATGCTATTGTATCCAATGAAGGCATTGGATCAGCAAGCAAGCCCAACCGATTTATCTCTGCTGCAAGGCTAGGCTTCGCAACAATCAAAGAGTTGTACATGGAAGAGCCTTTCTCCCATGCCATGCTCTCCAGTAACCTTTCTTCCAAAGAATTTAGATGCCTCTTCAACTCTCTAGGAAGTGTCTCCTCGTGCCTTACAAAGCTCTCTATCACCTTGCTCAGATCAAAAGCTGTGATACCAGTCCTTTCCAAAACGGCAGGGAACATCATAGTCACTGTCTTGTGTGTCGCCAAAACCAGTTCAGCTGAGCAAGCAAGCATGCACCTATGAAATCTCTCATTTGTTAACAATGATGTTAAGTTGTTATTGTGCAAAATTTGGGATTCAGCTCGGCACATAGCTAGCAAAACCCTAAAGTATAATTTAAGGGCCTCCATCCTTCTTTGCTCTGCCCAAACAGTATCCATTAGGGTTGCACTTTGAAGGCCACATCGGTCCCCATAGGGAGCACTTGGGAAAATGGCCTCTAATATTATGAGGGCTCGACGCATAACATCATTGGTCACATCTTTGTCACATAATGAGAGAAAGTGCTCCAATTCTGGTGAAGGACTAGGAGGAAGTGGGGCTACGACTGTTCTGAGCCATTTAGCAGTTGTCATGGTTGTGCTTACTGGGGTGGATGGTATCTTAAAGTTAGCATTGGCTGAGCTACCATTCATTGGTGATGCAGAAGGGGAGCCTGGTGGAGAGGCTGGACTTGTAATTGTCTTTGTTGGGGAAGCCAAGCAATCATATTTTCGCTGCAAAATTTAATTGTTTATCCATGTATCATGATAACCCAAGATTCAAATCTTTCCAGTATGAAAATTTTAGAACAACATTACTCCTCTGAGTTCTTTTAACATAAAGGAAGGCCTATTATCTAAGCTCCAGACATAGTCAGACTACAAATCCAAGCCAATTCTTGATATATGCATCATGAAATTTTTAGTCAGATTCCAAACAATCTGCACAAAAAACTTCTCCGAATTGCAGACAATTGAGATCAAAATACAGGGGACAACAGCCATCACGACATAACCTTCTGGTTCTGACACTGACCAGAAACTCAGCATGCAAGCACACCAACCTTTATGTTCAGGAACATAACATTATTTTGAGGCCTAAAAGTCACTAAATACAAAAAAATAAATTAAAAAAACACGACACAAATAGGAAACAGGTGTGTGATACAAACATACCTTGCATCCAGACAAGTTAATGGCACCTCCAGATAAACTACCAGTGCCAAATAGACTATCATCTTCATGTATAAATCCACGTTCATCAAAGTCATCCCTATCACATATTGCATCTTCATAATCTTTGTCCAGAATCTGTATACTCGATGCCAAATATTCTTCCTCCATAAGACCTTCAAAATAGGTGAAACTATCTGAAATGAAAACACTCAATTCAGAAAATACAGGCAGAACAATGGAAGCTATTATAAACCAATCAATCCCCAACATAAGAAAAAACAATAGTGAAACAGCACATTCTTTTCTAATAAGGTAATGAAGCAAAGCCCAAGGACCTGTATCAATGTCCTTCAGGTTCTCTGGTTTGCTCTCTGAGACCGAATGAGGTTTTTTCTTTAGAATATGAACTATTAAATTAGTAGCTTTTTGAACTGTTTTCCTAAGATCATCTTCCGATGTCTGGTAGATATTGCTAAGAGTTGCGATGAGATCCACACCCTTGTCAGCTTTCCTAACTGAAACACAAGTAAATAAAAAGTAAGATGATTTTGAAGTCATACAACAAAACACGATCACAGAGGGTATAAATAATATCTTTTAACAGGTTGAAAGGTTCTAACCAAAGCGTTGGGAATCACTCAGAGAAAAATTCCGCAAGCGTACTGGCATATGAATTATCAAAATGGCCTGTCAAAAGTTCCCAAAATTTGAGACAACTTCAAAGTAAAGCAACAAGAAAACTTCACCCTGCACATGGACAAGAGCTTACAAACAAAGACACTTGAAAGACAAAGCAGGAAAAAATTCAATAACAAAAATTTGACCTTTCCTTCTATTGCTATAAAAAATCTGACCTTTTTTTTTTGTAGGGTGGGTTTTCTTTTTTTTTCCTTTTTTTTTTTTTGTGGGGTGGGGGGGGTTAGTTCAGTAGTAGGTATCAAACTTTGGATGTACTGTGACAAACGTTAACCACTAAACAATTAATCCCAAGCCTGAATCCTAAAATCTTGACTAAATTATTTGCAATATATAAATCTAAAAAATTACTAGCATTGGAAGAAAAAGGAACACAACAGAATCTCATTCCATATGGTAATCATCATTATTTAGGATCATTCAATAATATTTTAGTATTTCCTATCAGATATAGGAAATGACAATATTTAGAGACATTATAAATAGTTTGAAAATATTAAGGAACTTTGACCAACTGTTTATAGTCTTCAAAGGAAACTATAAACATGCATTAAACTGTAATCCACTTTATCATTTAAGAAGTACAAAATTTTTTCATAGAAAACAAAATCACCATATGAAAATCAACAACTACATAACAATTATATAGCAAGACGATTTCCAGTTGTAAGTGTCAAAATATAGCCAAAAATACATCACAAAGGAATTGCACACACAAACCTTATGACGGAAATTATAGTGTCCAATAATATAGATTTATTCAATGCACATGTATCATAGATGATAACAATTTCAGAAAGGAAGTAACACTAACCAAGATAGAAACTAAACCATTTGTACAGGTCACTACATCTTTAAACGGGCTAAACGCATGAATTCGCAGCGCCAAAAACAGCAACCATCCAAATCGAAGATAGTCAGAGATGGGCTCTGCACCAATAGCAACCACTGACTGCTTCATATCATTTGGATCACTTGGCAAGAAAAATTCCAAGTACGTACGTTTGTAGTACCTAAATGAAACAGGCTCCATAATGTTAAAGCAAGAAATATGGCAGATATAAACCGTCAACATATGTGAACAGACTGATCAAAAGACAGTTAACAAGTTTGAAAATCTCATTATATGTTCCATTCAGAGAATTCTCAAGAATAACAATCAATGCAGTTTATAGAAATCATGGTGCCAGGTCCCAACCAGGTTTGAACAAGCAGGAAACTGTCGATCCTAACTTTCAGTTATTATATATGACAAGGATCACTTGTGTGACGGAAAAGGATGTCTGCATGCCAACAGGTTCTATAAAAATCAATCTAAACTTTCGTCCTCTTCCTCTACAATTCCGTTACATGTCAATCTTTAGTACCTTAGGAATTTGCTTCCTCATAGGAGAGCATGTGTAACAGTTCAGGGGCCAACAGTAAACCATGAGAACCAATAAACAGAGTGGTTTTAACATGCTTAATGACTGAATTTGTGTGATCTATAATGCTAACCAGTAAAAACAAAGGCCCAAGTTGCTAACTTCGACTTGCAATCATGTATAGTGAAGTTAAAATATAAACGGAAATTGGTTCAAAAAAGGTTCAGATGTAATTTGCAGTGAAAAACATAAATGGAGAATGATTCAAGAGGCATCAAAAGAATTAAATGTCAATCAATACAAGCTAGAATCGAATTATTCCAAAACAATGCAAACACTACATTTATAACCAATTGTTTGTTGCATGAACAGCATCAAGGATAAAAAAACATCCATTGATGGCATGGTTATAGCACATAAGGCGACCAGGAAAGAACAAATGAAGAATAAAAAAGGAATGAATGCTGTGTTTATATTAGAAAGCTGGGAATTAGTTAGATATCTATTAAGCAAGCTAAAGTGAAGTAGAAAAACAAATAGTTGTATGGAACTTGAAAATAGAAGAATGGGATATTGAGCACCGCGACACACTGTGCATGACATTGACACAAAAGAGCATAAAGAAAAAATACTGGAATGAAAATAATAAGAAAATGTTTATATAAAAGGGATAAGAGATGAAGACTCACTTGCTTAGAACCGCCAAGTGCACAAAATTCGCCTGCAATTCTTTTGCCTAATTCAAGAAGCAACACAAGTGAATCAGTCAGTACTTTGTAAGAATGGGAGATGAATCAGCACTTCCAAAACTCTAAGCTATAGCTATAAACTCAGTAAGAATTACAATCCAATGGTAAATCAATACCTGAAGTCTCTTTTCCCAGTCAGAGCCGTACAAGTTGGTTAGAATCAAACCGGCCTTGAGAAAAAACTGAGGCATCTCTTTGAAGAAATCCACAGCACTGGAAAATATACAACATACTTTATTGGAATTACTCAAGACTAATTATATAAAAGAGTGGGAAGGGGCTTTCATTCTAGATACATTAGAAAATGGTTCTCATGGTTTATATGACTTATTAAATGAAAATAAGAATTGGGTTACAAGAGAAGAAACAAAAATTCATAAAACGTGGATTCTTACTTAAGCTTTGCAACTCTCAGAATCTGGGACAACGTGAACCCAGATTCAATTTTCTCATGCGTATTCTTTGCAGGCCCCAATTTCTTCACAATAAACAACACAAAAGCAAACCAGAAACGCTCGGTTTCTTCAGGCTGAAACAGGGAGATCCAGAAAACATGCAACACATGCAGGGTCAAATTCTAACAGTAACTTATCAACAACAAACAAGATATCAGTGTGTATGGTCAGTACAAAACTACAAAAAATTAAACTAGAGAGAGAGAGAGAGTGAGAGTGGAGAGAGAAAAATAGAGAAAACATACAGTTCCACTTCCAAGTGCCGACATATTTGCAAGGAGAAGGTGTTTGCTTTCTCTGAACAGGCTCATCGCCTGGGTTGTGGTGTTCTCATCAAGCAACAAGCCCATCTAGCATTAAATCAATAGTTGTTTAAAGCAAGGATGATAAGCATAACTAAGAGGAACTTACGGATTAATGTGATAGTAGAGAGAAACAAAGAGAATATGACAAAGATATCAGATGCATCTCATAACTTCAAAATAGGGATCAATGGGATAGTAGAGAGAAATAAAGAGAATATGACAAAGAAATCAGATGCATCTCGGGACTTCAAAATGGGATTCAGGGATGAGACGAAGAGAGAGACAGAAATCAACAAGAAAACCGATATTGAGAGACGTAGAGAGGGAAAAATATATATATATATATATCTGCATTAGATGCATAAGAGAGACAAAAACAAAAACCTTGCAAAACTCCAGAAGCCTGGCTTCCATTCCTCCGCCATCTGAAATCAAATTACTTGATAAAGTCAGGGGCTTTATTTCCTCCATTTTCACAGGACCCATGTTCACTCCACCTTGCTCGGAGACGCTGCTTGATCCAAAACCATGGCTTCTACCTTACTCAGACGCCCTGATTGATCCAAAACCATAGCTTCTTAATAAGGTAAAACCCTAATCCAAAAACCAAAAAATACATAAAATAACAGATAATCATTGCAAATATATATAACACATGAGCAGAGAGAAAGGACAAAAAAACCCTCACCGCCATAGAAATCTTCCTCTTTTCATGCGATAACATTTAAACACCGCAAACTGCATCAGAACTCCATGATCGCCCTTCTCTCACCGCCTCTCTCTTCCCTCCTCCTCTCTCTCTCTGTAAGCCTCTCTCTGTAGCTCTCTCTCTCTCTCTCTCTCTCTCTAGGATTCTGGATCAGAGGGAAACCAAATCAGCGAGCCAAAAGTCGAGGGTTTGAAGCGTCCTATGAAAGCCCCTTCTTTCCCTCCCTTTCTCTCTCTCTTCACTTTCTCTCTCTAACTCTCGAGCGCGGGAAAACAGCATGGCGTCGACGCCATGCATCCCGGCGGGCATGCCCCTATGCGCATCTTCTTCCAATGAAAAATCGCCACGTATGCATGCATGGACGAACTCTTTCGGCATGGTTATTTACCCGCCAAAATGTACTTTGGCGCGAGATAAAAGCTACCGTTAGCGTACGTGTGGGGGGTTTAAAACACCGCCGTGATTTTTTCGAATCCGGTGATGGGTAGGCGCACCTCGCCCTTTTTCCGAAATTTCGGAATCTTTAGTTTTTTTCCGAAATTTCTGAAATTTCGGATTTTCGCTCTTTTTCGTCTTTATCCTTATTCTAGTTAGGTTCCAGTCTTCATAGCAAAATAGCTAACTTCGTTTCCATATACACAGGGCAAGCACATGTGGTACACATTCGGGGTACCTGTCTTTTTTTTTTTTTTTTTTTTTTTTTTGGAACAAGAGCAAAAAAAATATTATTAAAAAATTCGTTTTTTTGTTGGCTAGATTCTAGGTATAGGACAAAAGGGTTAATGTACTTTGTAGTATGAGGTACATGGCCTTAGTTACAATGGTCAGAGTGAGGGTAAAAATCCTAAATTAAATATGGTAACATAGAGCAACACATTGTCTGGTCCACACCATGGACGAGACTCCAGGGCAATGTTTTAAAACCCGAGAATTTTCAATTTGAACCCTCTATTTAGATGAAACTCGGTTGGAATCGAACTCGTGATAGAATAATGTGGTTCTAGCTTCGTTTCCCTTTTAAAGCGACCCTTATTTTTTATTAAGCTTATTTAATATTTTTTTAGGTTTTTTTAAATCTATGTTCCTTGAACTTATTTTTTAATTATAATTTTTATATTTATTTGGATCACCTATTCGAATTGATTTAGACCTGATCCGTATTGTTGATCCAGTGACCCGATACGGATCATGGTTGGAAAACTGGTCTAGGGAACAGTCCTGGCAATGATTAAAAAATAGTGGCTCTAGCATATGATGAGAAAGTTAAGAGACGGGCCCAAGCAATCCTAGATGGTCTTCAACCGCTAACAAAAAGATCAAGGGCAGCAGTGGTTGAAGGACATTGACATACCATTTTTTGGTGGTTGATAGGAAGACGTGATCTGTAAATTTGATAAAATCAAAATTCTCAGAGGCTCTGCGGTCTCTATTAATCGTGTTTGAAATGAGAAAATGGGGTATCCAACTCGAATGAGAATCGGACGGGACCAAATTATAGAATTTTAGAGAGAGAGAGAGGATCTTCTTGAAAGAAAATTGTGCTCACACAATTGTGGTGGTTCTTCCATTATTGTATATATGATAATAGTACAATGATAAAAGATTGCAATCCATATACAATTTATATTGTCAACAGTTTCCTTTGTATTACATTATATAATATACATTTTCATATATTGTTACATTACATTCTCTCGGAGTTTATTTTATGTTATGCACGATTGGAAATGTCAATATTTAATTCTTGTGGCCTTTAAAAAAATTGGGAGTACTCAATTTTATTTTTATTACTGCCTCTCAAACTCGGTTGGGGAGACATCTAAAGTATGAGTTTGAAACAAAGATCTCAAAAAATATCATATGATAGAGGCTTGATAAAGATATCAGCTACTTAAAGCATCATATGATAAAGGCTCGGTGAAGATGTAAGCTACTTGTTTGCGAGACGAAACAAAACATTACAATAGCAACATTTTTCACACATAAAATGATAGTCTAACTTAATATGATTTATTGGGCATGAAAATCATGAATATTAAAATTGTCACAAAAAATTATTGATTGTTTAGAAGGAATAAGGAAAGACGAAGCCAATTATGCATCTATGGATGCCATAAATCGATATTCAACTTCAATACTTGAACGAGTCACATGCAATTGTTTATTAGCACTTCAATATATACAGTTGGAATCAAGATAGGTGTAAAACTAGTGGTGGAAGAACGAGTGTTTGAACAACCATCCCAATCAAATATTAGAGAAAGTGTATAACTCAAGAGAGCTAGTAGATAAGATCCGCATACCAGACAACTGTATACGATTAAGATAACAATGAATCTGCTTAACTGCCCCAAAAATGTGCAATTATATGGGCATATGCATAAATTCACGTATTGTATTGATACTATGCAAAAAATCAAGTCATGGTGATGTATTGGAGTGTACCAACAATACTTCGATAAATAGATGGATCAATAAATAGAGGAGAATGACCATAAACATTATTTTTTGTAACCATTGATGTTGAAATAGATTTGGCACCAAGCATCTAAGCAAGATCAAGACGATCATTGGCATATTTGGTTTGTGACATAAAATTTTCACCTGAAAAATAATATACCACTATGGCAAAAAAGTAACGAAGAGGTATCTGATTGTGGCTAGATCGGAATGAGACAGGATGATAGAGAGTGGGTTTAGGGATTTATGGTGTGTAAGAGATAATGGTTTTAGACCGATATGAGGAAAGTAGAAGCTAAAAAGTAGTGAACAGAAAACGTCAAAAAAAAAAAAACAATGAGAGGATTTGATGATGAGAGTGTATTGAGTTGGATAATACAACCTATCGATAGAGAAACATGGTTGTAATGAGAGTATGGAGTTGTGGAGTTACACAGGCTAATGGAAAAAAGAGAAACATGTTGTAATAATAAGAAAGATAAATGGTTTAATTGGCTGATCAATACTTGAAAGAAAGGTGTGCACCGTCACCTAACGAAAAATTTGCCCAATACAAAATTTAAATTTTTAGTTTATTTTATTTATTTTTTAATATTTTTTGGATCATCATTTCGGGCTGATTCAACCTAAGGATCACAGATATGGCGATATGACACGGATCAACAATTCATTCTACCGATCCGGATTTTGAAACACTCGTATGGACTGCATTCGCATATATTTTTTATTAATCACTAAAAGTAACTTTTTTATCAAAAGGAAAAAGAGGAGCTATATGCTTTGAGGGGACAAAACCAATCGAGGTGGCCTGAGGAATAAAAACTATGTGCGATGGCATCTTGACCGTCCATTGAGCATCATTAAAACGTAATGAAGATTGTAACCAAGATTATAGCAACTCTAATTATAGCCCAGCCAAAGTTTAAGGAAGGTTAATTACTGTAGTTCATGTGGTACGTTCTACCAAGAACCGCCTCTCGGACTTGAACGAGTGTTATATGCATGGTTATCAAGATCAAACCAGAGTGCTTGGTTGGACTGCCAAATGGTGTTTTGATTAGTCTACTCCAAAGAGAAAATCAAGTTTTTGATAAAAAATTGGTTAAAATTAATGTTTGACTAGTTTTAGTTAACCGGACCGGTTAAACAATATTAGATTATTTTTTTTATTTTTTTTTTGCAATTGCCGTTTTGATTTGGGGATTATATATTATGAGATTATTTATCTTTATTATAAAGAGATCATAAGTACTCCTAGCCATTAGATGTCAAATTAGATGATGGCATGAAATATGTCACAAACTTCGAGAAATTTTTTTTTTTTGAATTTGAGTACAATCAATGAAACTCTTACAATCATCTGATGAGAAATTTGATGGACAAGAGTATTTGTTACATCTTTGTACCAAAAATAAATGGTTGCTTTGTATATTTTTCCTTTGATAGGTATACTCCAACCGATTCAATCATCATTCAAATCGGTCTTGATTGAATAAAAAGCCTCTCTTATTTGATGCCCGATCCAATTTTGATAATACATATGCTTCCAAACATTTAACTGCTATAGTTCATAGTAAATTGAGCTGAATTCATCCAAATTCATCTCACATGGACACATGGGTTTAGTTACGCCTTCAGAACGTCGACTCCACAGGGCTGGACAAGAAGCTAGGTGGAGCTGTAGCTCTGGAGCAAGTTTTTCAACTGGATCAATGCATGTATAAACCCGTAGCCGCTAATCAACAGGACTAGGTAATCGCCTTTCCTCATTTCCTCTAACCGCTTCTATTTCAAGTGGGAAAAATTGGCCTTTGAGAAAATCATCTTATGTCGGATGCCTGTAGGAGAGAGGTTCTGGCTTGGAGGAAGCTTGAACCGAACAGTCATCCCTTCATTTCGAGCGCTTTACTACTTGTAGTTGTAGGACTCCTCCAACTTAGCTAGCTGAGGTTATATAACATCTTAGCAGCTAAGCTAAGGAGAGGGTTTCGACACATTTGGATAAATTTAAATTTATATGTTTTATTACAAAAATTTCACCTAGAATTTTACCTTCTTATTTATCAAAATCATGTACGGATGTGTTGTATATTAAAGGTGGATTTTGGGATTGGCATTTTAACTAATTTGTGTGTGATAGTAGAGTACATGAAAATATTTCATTGTCCCTCAATTTTCCAAGAAGGGATAGAAGTTAGAACCATTCATACTCATGATGTTCGCAGTTGTCTTAGTTACAACTAAACAAACCTTATTTCACCACACAAGCACGCTCAAAACCATGTATGAATTTGTAAATATGACCATAATTTAATGGAGCATGGTATACTGTACTCCAAAGGAGCATCCACCATCCAATCTTGACCATAGAAGGAAGAGATCAATCACAATGCTAGAGTACCCAAGCGCATATTGCTGGAAATGTGAATGCCCCTTTAGAGAATTTGATACTATGCTCCATTGGATTATGGTATATTCTACATGGAAAAGTTTATATAAGATTGACACTTCAAAATGTAGAATTACGGTGCACCCTAAAATCCTTTGAGTAAGGTTGCTTTGATTTCGAAAAAATATCTAATTGATCATATCGACATCGAGCTGTATAGATATAGAGAATAAAAGAGTTTTCAAATTTTAAAAATAGTGCATATTGCAATACATTTTTTGGACCATCAATTTTCAAGATTTTTAGGTATTTATAGATCTAATTGAAATTTCACAACTCTAAGATAGAAATAGATTATTGTACCATCTTAAGACTATTCGACACTAAATTCCATTTCATGACAAAGTTTTGAGGTGCACCTTA